CTTGGTTTTATGGAAATTGCGTTTCACATACCCTACTTCCCATTTGCAGGTCTGTGTTAATCCATGGCTGAGATCTGGTTTTGTAATTTTGTAGCACAAAACTCAATCTAGATTGCACTCAAATAGATATATGGGCTTTTTCCAGAGCTGTGATTAATTTTTTTATACAGCTAGGAGTGTAATGACAAGGTTCACTTATAAATTGATAGGTGGTGTAGTTTTCTTTATTTTATTCTTTGCTTTGCAAACATGAAACCCATGCCAATTTCCCATTGTCAAAGGTAACTTAAATTTTTTTTATAGAATATTCAGATATGGTTTTTGAGAGGGATGTTGCACTGAGGCAGAGTAACGCTCACAACAGTTTCCAGGTAGGATGCTGAAAGTTCCAGGGACTTACGACTGAAGTACTTTGTGGTTTGCTTCTAGGTGTGCCTGGGGCAGTGCAGCCATGAGTGAAAGCCTCAGCTATCTGACAGCTGCCGAGTGACCTGGGTGAAGTGAGTCAATGACATCAAACCAAGTCTGTACCAATATCCTCATTACAGCTGGTGCTAATTGGTAGTCTGTTGGCAGTCTCAGTGGAGTTACTGAATCAAACGAAGCACCAGATTGGTCTCCTCATTTGATGTGCATTGACAACAGTTAGCTGAAAAACTTTCCCTGAAAGAAACCATTTATTCTGGTTGAGCAGAAAGTAGCTTTTTCTGTTGACAAGGGATCATCACTTCCCAACTTTCTATGTGTTCATACATAGAACCTGTAAGGGGACCAATGGTGAAAGATCAAGAACAAGTGTTATTATATACACCTAAGAAATGCTGAAGCACCGTGAAAGCGTAATTGTACTTTTCTGTGAAATTCCTTGAATAATGGATGTCACAGCAACCTGTGTGACAATGGAGAGAAACTAGATAAGGGAAAAAGATTTTCTCTTGTCTGTTTGTAGAAGCGGTATTACTGCTTTACTTTTTCTCTCTCAGATCAGTAAAATAAAAAATAAATGTTTTTCTAAAGTGTTGTAGAATAATACCAGAGGTTAATGGAAAGCAGAAGAGCCTGAAATACAGTAGGAGACTCTGAACTCTTTCTTATTCTGCTCTTTCATGTAACTGAGAAGTGTGGATCCAATGCCACCTATTAGAATTACTATGCTGTGTGTCATAGTGTAATATAATAAAATACTGTGTTATGACCTGAACGAAGGGTCCTGAACCCAAGGTTCTGTGCTATTTTCCGACTGTAGCAAACAGTACAAGAATTCTGCAACCTCTTGAGGTTCTTGGGCAGTAAAATCTATTAAATCCCCAACAACATATGTAGCAGCTGAAGTAACTTTTTATTAGTTCTAAAATTGGCTAGATTGTCCATGTTGCTACTGTTCTTTTAAAATCTTAAATACTTTTTTCTTGGAGAATGTCAAAGTTGACAAAGAGGGAGCATGTTGATTATTTGGGAAAGTTAGAGAGTGCTTGACTGTAGCAGTTGAATTTATCAAAAATTACCATGCTATTACCACACACAAACACACAAGCCAAACGGCAGCTAAATGTATGGACAGGTATTGTCTGCTTTTTTACTTCCTCAGACCATAATCTGAAGTTGTCTTAATTTTCTACATCAGTATCTCCAAGTCATTCAGTATTAAACCCTGCAAATAGTACTTTTCCATTTATGAGAGAGGCTAAAGGCTCTTCACAGATGGTTTATGTTTCTAAAATATTCTGAGTATGTGAAGTGCCTTTCAAGTATTAAGTTTAAATATTTTCTCTTAAGCAAGACAATTGGATTTAGTTAAATTCTAACCTCCAAAGATCACCTGAAATGATTAAAATGCTCTCTGCGTGACCTTTTGTAGACTTAACAGCTTTAGATGGTAGCCCCAAGACCTGCCTAAAACCCCAGTCAATCTTGGTCTGTAATGTTTTGATATGCTCTTGCTTCTCAGACTTTTTTGAACTATAAACTGGGTTGGTTTATCTGGCATTTAGGGATGTTCCCTCATTTACGTTTCCTGCTTTTTCCACTAAGTGCTGTTTTTGAAATATATTAAGACAGAAAGGGTAATAGGCAGATTTTCACATTAGGTAAGTGATGATGATTCCCTAATGCCCGAAGAAAACACTGGAACACTGGAAAAGTGAAAGAATTCCTGTGTACCTGGGGAAAGCAGAAGGCATGTGACTGTAGGAAATAAATATTCTTAACATAGGGTACACAGTTTTTTATTTATTTGAGGTTATTCTGGAAAAAGGTTTTATATAGGCTGTAAACAGAAATCTGAAGGTGGAAGGACTTGAGGCTAAATGAAGCATTTTTAGAGAAAATCATGTGTGTAACAGGCAGTTATTTGAACACAGGCATAAAGAATAGCAGACAAAGGAAAATTTTTTATTATGTTTTAATAAATGCTTCTGAATGCTTGGTAAAATGTTTTTCTTTAAATGTGTCATGCTCATAATCTAATAGATTAGTCCTTGTCACCACTATCATTGTTACTGTTCTATTGCAAAAAGAGTTGTTATTTGTGTTTCCTGTCATAAGGTAATAAATCTTTCATAGCTATGTACTTGGTTTGATTAACTGAAATGTATGAGATGCCCAATTTGTTTCTTCTAGTCCACAAAGAAGCCGGATTTCAAAGAACTGGCGTGAACATTTTAATATAGTCGTTAAAACTCATGAAAAACGCCTGGTTTTAGTAAAGATTTCTATTCACTAATACTCCTGTATCCACTATTGGTACACAAAATGCAGTGTATAACAAACAGGTTATTTACAGAAGCTATAATTTCACACAGCTGAAAGGCTGACATCAAAATGCCAGTCTAATGCTTTTTCATTTTGCAATGGAAACTCCAAAACGTTTTCCAGCTGAAGCATCTCTCTAGCAAAGAGTAAACTTCAACTTATTTCAAATATACTTCTTTTTTAATTACCCTTTCCTGATCACAAAGGGTTGGCAGTCTACAAGTCAAGGGCCACTGTCCCAAACATCTTAGCCTTCTGCATAGTTATGACTTGTTAGAAATTTGGTTACGTTTCTTTAAACAAGTTATAAATACAGTTCAGAAGAATTTTTTGGATTGGTTGGTAGCACAGTACAGCACTAGTTCATAGCTACTGACATGGATTACTGTCTGCTGGGGGAACTAGATAATGACAATTTATAAATTTTTCCAGATCTCATTTATTTTCATCTCCCACATATGGAATTTTGAAGTTCATTTGTTTGCACATGTTGTAAAGTTAGAAATTCTGCCCGGTTGGACAAAGTGATACAGAATTTCGAGAAAATTCCTCTCATTATATTGCGGGGAAATACAATCTCAAAGCTATAACTACGTAGCTTCAATTGGTTTAAATACATTAAGTGGATCGTTGTGCTTTTCAGGAACTGTCAGTTCTTATTAAGCTGAATAGTTGTATTTAATTGTCTGCTGGACAGTAATCAATTCAAAAATGCCTCTGTGTGATCGTGATATCCCTTGTGAAATCTGTTCATTGGAGGTATTTCCCGGTTTTTATGCTATGTTAAATAGGTTGATTCATTCTGCTCTAATGAGGATACCATTGTGTAGCTAAATGTTCTTCCATATGGTTGCATTCATAACGTCTTCCTTTTAATGGAGCTTTTTGTCTCCTTTTCTTTGTTAATCTTATTTTTGTTAATTTTGTTAAACTTTTCTCACTTCAATGGGAGTGATGGATACAAAAAATGTTCTGATTCCCTGTTTGTACGCTATTTAAAAATTGTAGCCAGTGGAGTTGACTAAAATGTGTTGTAGTGCCGGTTGTCTTGATGTTCAAGTGACCTGAAAGGACTAGGCTTAAGCTGATATTTTGAAAAAGTTTGTTTTTTCAAAATTACTATAATGCTGAAGTGTCACAAAATAGATGTGCAATGGGCCTTTTGCAGTTGAAACAGTTAAGTGTTGCTCTCGCCATCCATTCACTGCTGGCTTTGTAATTTAGACAAAATTATGAGTTAACCTAGTGGACCTTGTAATAATTTGAATGCTGTTCAGTGGGGCTGAAGAGCAGTTATCCAAGCTGTAATCAAGACTCAGATGTGGAGGCGGTGGCTTCTTGTTAGGGGCAGAAATATATTGTGTTTTGCAGGTACTGCTTAAAGATGCAGCAACATATTGGTTAATGTTTTTAAATCTGTGAAATTGAGAATTTGAGACAGATAAAATAAATTATTTAACTGTAAATCACCTTATATGTAAGCAAGAATTGTAAGTCCAGGTATAGATGCCCAGGAAAGCATTGGGCATCGCAGAGATGTGTCATCTTTTTCCTTGCTGGTACGGGAATATTAAGCAAGAACCACTTTAAATCTGAGAAAGAAGAATGCTAAGCACAAAAATGCGTGGAAAACTACTCTCCCCAGTGACTAGGTGCCTGAATCAAAACTGCACTGAAGTATTTTATCTGCTTGTGATCCAGTGCGCCTCATTTGCCCAACCATTTTTGAAACAGCAAATAGCACTAAAGAGAGAGGTGTTTGCCCTATGGAAGGAACCCAGGATTTTTTTTCCTGGCAGGTGGATGTTAACCACGAGGCTGTGCGGTCATGTTCCATCTTCTCTGCTTTTCCTCTAGGTCCAAGAATGGTTGGTTCTTTTCCGCACTTTGGCCTCACTTGACTAAGGGCCCTGCTCAGCACAG